AAATTTTCAAGTTTGGCTGAATCTGTTTATAAATACTTTCGCGGACGTCTCTCAGATGCGCAATTGTAGTCTAGGACATGTAATAGCATAGGAAATTGCAAAAATATATCCCAGCGTCCATAATCACTAAAATTTACAGATAATTTACTTGATATAATTATGCAATCGCATTAACTGCATAATAAAAGGAAATTTCAGTAAAGGATGCGGATAAGCGAAAAGCTAAAGACATCCAGAAATGCTCCAATCAGGTTCCGTTATCAGATTTCATGGAATAGGTCACGTAAGGTATTCGCTTATTGTGTGTCTTCTGATACATTTTTCATGGACTAGTGTTAATATATGATGTTTTGCTTATGCTTTTTAAGCAATAAAAAAAGATCTGGGAGAACAACAGTGGATCCCATTTAAAACTGCCAGTATCTTGAAAGAGGGAATGAGGATTCAGCTGGCCATACTTGTGCTCCCAATTACGGTTCTGGTAATATCCTGCATTTATCTGGAACACTCAAAAGAACATACAAGGTTAAGCCAAGCGCAGAACCTCCCCAAAAAGAGCAAGAAGCAGATGGGAGTGCAGAACTTTGTGGCGTATAGTGGCCACACAAAAGCGAAACGACAAAAACTTCCACATATGGGGAATATAAATTGGCCGCACGGGCATCTTTGCCTGTTCCACTAGGCGCCCCCGAAAGCCGTCAAGTGCCCCTGGGACCCCACTTCAGTCGTGGGCAAATGCACACAATACGGGGATTATTTGACGTCTTCGGGAATCTGATAAAGGAGCTCGGTTTGAGTGACACGTGGATGATATATGGTAGGAGTCTACTTGGACCTTTTCGACATCATGATATAACTTCATGGGACGACGACATTAAGATTCTTGTCGACAGACATGTTAGACCGACATTGTGGGACAGTATACAAAACTTGAACCGGAAATTATCATTCGAAAGGTTGGAAAGAGGGACAAGATTCATGCAAAATTAATTCAGCCGAATAATATAACCCAGGACGTTAAAGGTACTCGAAAAATGGATAAACTTAATTTTGCCTGGCCTTTTTTGACATCGGTTATTACAAATCCAAAGTGACTCACATAACAGAGCTCGCGAAGTATTGTGGCCAATATGATAAGCTACAAAAAGTCTGATGTTTTTTCCCTTGGTTTTCAGACCGTTTTACACAAGCTGGGTACTAGCTCCAAAATCACCTCTTCTTTTATTGTGCAGACCTATCCCAGAAACATCCACTGCTCTTCGCTTAGATAGTGCGACCCCTATGAACGAAGTATACGTGTCCTTTCAATTCTGTGCGCTAAACTGGCGCCCATTTACGCCTTCTTTGAGCACAGACCACTTTAAAACACTGTTCAGGACAAGAACTATCAATCAACAGATTTGGTTTGGGCCTGTGAGAGGCTGATCCCCGGTCACAGACTTATTCACGAAATTCTCCTGCCTGCACCCAGACTACTTGTGAGCTCCTAGACGTGATTTCAAGAAAATTTGTGGCGACGGCTCCGACTTTTTCTGTCAACTTTACTACAACGAACAAGGATCCAGTGCCAATGTGTACCAAGATACATGAGAAATTTCATTTTTTATAAGTCTTCGCAGTGGCTGAATATAATAAATCATAACAGCGGCAACAAAAATGGCCAGAGTGAGAGCCTGGTGTTACTGACAGGTTTGGGCTTGTCCCAGATAGTTCGACCGTCGATTCTGACGATGTCCACCGTGTGCTACAAAGTGAGGTACAGCACGCACCGTGACATGCGCGTCAATTAGTTTACGGTGTTAGTATATTTCGCAAAATCTACTGCACTCTCTCTTGCACATTTCCCACCTGGCCAAGCTGTCAAGACAGAGTTAAGAAGACCGGAGGCAGGAGAGGCGCAGGTGGCTGGCGCGGCCGGACCCGCACCTAGGCGTACCACGACACCCACTGGTCCACAACATACACTTGGCCAGGATTTTTCACCAACAACAACACCCCAATAAGGGTCAGAAGGACGAGGATGATGACTGTACAGCCATGCCCACCACCTGTATACCCAGCGGGAGCGTAAGCGCACCTACCGGCAGGGAACCAGTTTGCGGGGAAATGCCAGCGCATAGCAGGCTGCGAAAATTAAAGCCGCGTGCATGTTGACAAGTATGCATAAGCTTCCTTCCGACTGATCTCAATAATGTTCCATGTTAAGTTGGCTTAATAAATGTTTTTCAGGGTACGCTTAAAATGGTTCTCCATTCAAACTAATTAGATAGTTTGGAAAGGTTGCTGGTTTGGCCAAAGTACGGTATTATCGGAAGCATTATGGCGTCCTGGGTTTTAGCTTAAATTCGAATAAATGATTGCGATCGTAAACGGAGTTACTCTATGGATTTTGGAGGACGTATAGGTACAGCAGATGCACTAATCCATGAAATGTTGACCGGAATTCTGCAATGCGTTTTCGACTCGAAAAGACTACATAAGTTGAGTTGTGATATTGTTCGCCATACAGCATAATCCTCAGACATCTCATTCACAATGGGACTTCGGTTTTTGAGCGAACTTATTTTCGGCCGCCTGCAAAACTTCACTCTAAAAAATAAATAAGTATTGCATGAATTTTTATCGATTTTTGTGCTCTTGTAAATTGGAATCTATTTCGCAAAAAACTTACGTAAATTATGCATTATTTTATCCATTTGGTATAAAATAACGTCTTTTGTAAAGCGTAAACTTAAAGGTAGGGTATAATTCGGTTTTGAAAAGCTTTTCTGATTCATGCATAGTTTTTAACCCGACTTACCGTCCTATTTGCATTCAGGATTTCCAAACTACAAGCTATATATTACTTGTCTACGGAAACCATACATTTCTCTACGGTATTGCTAGCAGACTATATCAGATTCATGAAATTCAGTAGTGGTGTTTGGCAAGCAAGATTACTTAATGCTGAAACACGATGTGTTATAAACGCGTATTTCGAAAAATCTTATAATAAAAAACTTTTCCGAAACCGAGTCATACTTTTTTTCAAGTTAAACGGTTTTAGAAGGTCTAATTTTGCCTTTAATGTATAATAAAATAAATATGCTTATTCATGTTTTTGATAAAATATGTTTCATGATGTAAGGACATGATGTAAATAGTAAAAATTTATTTTATACAATTAGCTCTTTATAGAGTTGTAGCTTTTGCAGGCAGCCGGCAACTAGCTCGCTCGAAAGCCGGAATCCCGATGTGACTGAAATTTTTAAGCAGTATCCTGCATAGTGATTTATATCACATACCATTTTGGGAAATCTTTTCGAGTTGAAAACGCGTTGTAGAATTTCGGTTTATATTTCATGAATTGTTATATTTTCTGCGCTTAGCACAATATTTTGTGCATAGCTTTCAGTTTAATATTGGGTTTAAGCCTTACTGTTATGGATACATTTGTGTTCGACGTTCACATATTCAATTTTCGTGCAAGTACTTTGTTCACAATTAGGACTAAGGAGATCAAATATGCGCTATTTGGTGGACTTAAATATTAAGATTAGGCGTCATGGCCTCGGACAAGACTTACGCCTGCATTAAGAGGCTAGGAGTTATTTGAAGTATGTGATTGGGTCACTGTGTAGTGGACTCAAATCGCGATTTATGTAGCAAACGCCAGGCGTCCATTTCGATTAAACTTCCAATTATGGGCTTGGTTTCTTATTGATGAGTCAATTAGTTTATAATTGGACACGATATTATCTCCTGCCCAATCACAAATTAAATAACCGCACAAATAAAAAGACATCGTTATAATTGTCCACAAGGGTAACTGAGTTTTAAATGCCACCTGATTCAAGTTGTTTCTCATGTTGACACCCATTCCGAAATAAATGACATCCCTGCAAGCTGAGATTATGACCGTCAGAAGCACCAGTTTTATTCGCACCACTGAACACTGGACGTCCTATTTTTGCAAATGACGTGATCGACGTTAAAAGTCGATTCGACAAACGCTTACAACGAAATTCACTGTGTGCTCCACATTTCGATGGACCACAGGCTGACTCCGGCGCAATAGTTGACAAGGCATAACCGGCCGTCTAGGCCAACAACCTATGCCGAAACCGTGATCGATAGTCTAGGTTTACACAGATACAAAAATCGTGTGCTTCAGATACTACCCAGGTGAAAATCATTTTCGCCTGCACCTGTATTCTGAAAGAAATCTTATCCTGTCAGTTAGTGGCCTTTCACGTCACTTTTTAAACACGGATGATTGCTTATTGTGAAGACATGCACTGAGTGCAGTGGAGACAGTGTCAGCCTCTGTGTCTTTCAGCTCACAGGCACCAGTTCATTGCCAGTCGCCTGTTAGTGGGTGCAGCTGGCTGCCACAGCGAAACAATGCGCCAAGCGTGCCGAAAACGATAGGGTAGCCGCGCAACATCGCATTTTAACACGCAGGGGATGAATGGCAAGACTTTCAAGTGCGTGAGGTCATAGAGGCACTTTTGAGGGCCATGGCTTTGAGCGCGCTGTGATGGATTTGGACAGGTCAGATGTAGTAAGGCAAGGAATGAGATGGATGATCATAGCAATTGTAGCCCAATATCGCACTTAGTCCCTTTCGCTCCCCATGCATAAGATGTTCCGGCCGGCAGACTTAGTCTGGGATTGGTAGCGAGTGTCTGGCAGAGCTAAGCGGTTAATCTACGCGTGTCGCTTACCACTCCGCTTAGGACAGAACAGGCCGGTTTTCCACACACAGGATGGTTGACTAGAAGCCCAGGCGGGTATGAGTGGACTAGATAGCATCTTTTGAAAGAGCCATAGAAGACGCTTCCGATTTGTGTGAGAGGTGCCTATTCCTGAGACGCATGGCGCATGATGCGAGACGGGTTCTTGTGTGGTTTCTGGGTCGGTGAAGATATGTGTGGTTGTGTAGTTTGGTTTGCGGTGATTTATGGCGCATTTTCATGGAGCGCGCGATACGGTAATTTAGGGGAGAATACGACAGGCGTATGTTGATACCCTTGGCAGCGGTTGATTGGTCTAGTTGCAGCCAATTCGCAGGTAATCTACAAAGCCCATGCCTAATGCACATGAACGGTTGCAGGATAACAGGATAGGCTGGGAGCTGTTGAGATTGCGGCGACGGCGTGATGACCGATGTGTGCGTGTGGCTTCTTCGGGCATTTTTATCCTTATGCCTTTTGCACATTTAACTAATGGAAATCACACCTAGCCTTTTTAAACTTACACACCACTTCAAAAGGCACGCTGCTGCACCGCTGGCTGGTTGAGAACACGGAATGACCGAAAATGCCTGCAGCAGACACGCCCCGTTATATGTGGGCAAGTCAACGTGGTCTCTTTTAATTAAATAACTTATGAAATAAGAGTCTAATGCAGTCTCTGATAACGAGTTTATTTGAGAATACTAAAAGTCAGGCGGATGGATGTTTAATTTATAGCCATCGTCTTCAGAGAAACTTCGCTAACTTCGACATTTACGACCAACAAAATAAGTTGCATTATACGGCAATGTCCAGGTATGGGTTTATAAGCATTGTATGAAAATATGGGGCAATAATAATAACGTCACATTATCCCCTGATATTTAGTTGAATTTTGTTACAACATCCCTAAGTCGTCTAATTCCTTCCAAAAATTGCATTTGACGTCTGCCAGCAACACCATTAACCAGAACGTCATAGCAACAATAAATTTAACACCCTCTATGACATATGCGTCCCCAATAACAGCCAGCGCAGTCAAACGGATATTCTATCCCATGAAAGTGCTGGCATCAATCGGGACGTCAGCGAAAGCTTGAAAATGTCTGTCATTAACATATGACCTCTACTAAGCCAACTGTCTCCAAACACTATGACTGCAGCTAAAGAGCATCGTAGTCAACGTGACGGTGTGCAGTGGAGTATGCTATTAAATTCCGAACAGATTTCTGAAAGCAGATAATTTTAGTCAGGCTGGAAACTTTAATATTCCACTGGCTAGGTTGAGCATCTGCTTACAGGGCAAGGATTCCGACTATGTGCACGCAAGTTTCGATTGCCAACAGCATTATTTGGCGATGTCTGGTGAGCCAGACAGCACACTTCCTGCGTTACATACAGATGGTCTATTGCGGGCAGACAGAAATGTGGGCGTCTTACTGAACATGATACAGTATCCGCTAATCTTTATCATTATTCGGTGTAAATTTAGGGAAAGACCTTTAGTAAAGGTAGTGTCCTAAGGGTGATTACCGGGGATGGGCACTTTGAGTGACTGTGTGGGTTTGGTGAGCCCGTCGTTTGACCAACTTGTAACTGTCTTGGTGCAAATGGAGAACCAGTACCGTTTCCAATTCAACTAGGCAAGTTGCCGCTTTGCGTGTAAGCTTTCTCTAAAAACACCGTTTAGGTTATCTAATAGTAGGCGGCATGACGTGGATACCATCGCACGGCTCCTTGCACAGGTTGAAAAACTGCGAATAATAAATGTAGGAAGCCATTTCAACTGTCGTAAATGACGACGTCCGCTGTGTGCCCCACAATGTAGGTGATCAGAGGCTGGATTGGATGCAGTGATTGGCAAAGTTAAACAGCCTGGTTACACCTGCCACACAGGCCTAGGGAGCGCAAGATAGACGGGGTTCTCACAGAAAAAACGGTGGGCAGTTTAATCCCGTGTGAGTTGTTGTGCCAGGAAAGCCATAGCGAGAAGGAACCATTGCATACTGACTCTGCATTCTGAGAGAGCCGACAAGTTACATCCCAGTTACTGTCTTTCTTAGCAACGCATTTTAGCTCACGGCGATGGATCACAAGCGAATGAGGGTGCTTTTTGCGGTGAATCGCTGATCAGAGTGGAGACGGAGTCCACTGAATCGACCTCAGTCTTTCCTCCTCCTCCTCCTCCTCCGCCTCATCCTCTTCCTCCTCCTCCTCATCCTCCTGCTCCTGCTCCTCGCCATCTTCTCCCTCTTTCTCCTCCTTCTTCTCCTCCTAGTCTTTTCCTACACTTTCTGCGGCGAATCGCTGGGCATCGTGGAGACGGAGTCCGCTGAACGAACTTCAGGCTTGTTTCTTCATCATCCCCTTCCTTCTCCTCATATTCCTTCTATTTCTCCACCTCTCCTCCTTCTCATGCTCATCATCATCCACCTCCTACTAGTAACTCCTTACGGTTTGCGCGTTGAATCGCTGAGCGTCGTGGGATAGGAGTCCACTGAATTAACTTCAAACATTCCTTTTACTCCTCATCCTCCTCTCATTTTTCCTTCTCTTTCTCCTCCCCTCCACCTCTTTCCCCCTCTCCTTCTTCTACTCCCCTTAGTTCCTCCCTAGGCTTTGTGCGGCGAATCGTTGAGCACGGTGAGGAGGGAATCCACAGAATGAACCTCAGACTTTACTCTTGCTACTCCTCCTCTTCCTTTCCCTCCTCCTCCTCCTCCTCCTCCTCCTCCGCCTCCGCCTCCTCCTCCTCCTCCCTGTACCTCTCTACATTTCGTGAGGCGAATCGCTGAGCATCGGGGAGACGAAATTCACTGAAGGAATTTTTAGCCTTTACTCCACATCTTGCTTTTCATCCTGATCCCCCTCCTCCTCCTCCTTCCCCTCCTCCTCCGATTTCGGAGTCTACCATCCTTCTGAAGCGTAGGAGATTGTTTGTAAGCGGCCGAACTTTGCGTCCTAAACAGGGTCCGATCTCCACACAACACATGAGTTTCTCAGGCAAACTCGTCACGTGTCTCGGATCTCACATGTCTGGGTTCATAGAGGCCTGAAAAATATAATCATTCAGCTCACAACCCAGTCCACCAACCAGTCATTCCATAAACGGGTTAGTAACGGTGTCTGGATTGTACCGCTAAATGGCAAACGACTAGACCTCGAGGTTAGAGTATGTCAGAGTTATTGAGGTGAGGGGTGCGCTGGATTTCCATACGAGCTGTGCCTTGCTGTCAAGTTTACACACTTTCTTCCAGCTCCCATGCACCAGTCGATCAAAGAGCGTATGATGAGGCTAGGCGCAAAGATATAAATGGGTGGCCCGCTTACGTGAGCCGCACACGTCTTGGCCTACTGCAAGAAATGACAGTTTTCAGCACAAATCGGATGGATGGCTGGAGTCTCGTAGGCGTGTTTGTGCGTTAGAGGCCAACTTGAAAAGCAGACATAGAACCTGTCTCCTACTTCACCACGCTTTCATAAAGGCTGGCTTGGCAACGTTCCGTGCTAGACTGGGGAGACACACGTCATAACGCAGTCATTCGTGTCAAATTCAATTTTGGCGTGAAGTGCGCTGAAGTTCCGTGGTGGTGTGTTCTTCAGTATGAGCACCTGCATTTCTCGTGAAACACTGCGCAGCATTCGACAGCGGTCCGTTTTATGCGAACAAAAACTCTAATAATGACTTGCAATTCTCCACTAAGAAATCATTGTAGTCCATATCTCAGGAAGAACTTACATAGCATACGCAAACAATATAATTTATGTCTCCGCCAAATTCGCTTGCGTCTTGATAAGTGTAAGTTATAAGACTATGCATTTTGCTAATATAACACTAAAACTATCTAGTGTTGTCTTTGTAAATTTAGAGGAATAATATCGTTTTTTTCGACTTCTAGCCCAGTATTTCTGTCCCCACCGTATGTGGAGGGCGATGAGATTGACAGTGTGATTCGAGGGCTCCTTACCTGTTTATGCGTTGGGGGTTTCAGTGTGACTAAGTAATTTTGTAATTTTGGTAAAAAACCTACTTTGAATCATGGCACATGCCACCTGACTACTTCAAAGGATACGTTTTTGCACAAATGCCGTCGGTTGATATATGTGGAAGACTTTTGATTAAAAGGTTTTCCTTTACAACGACGCAGATTTAAAACGGAAAAACGTGTAGAGCCACGCGACTGGTCGACGGCCTTTCAAATCGCATGCATTAATAGAACTCCGCTTGCTGCTTAGTAATATGTTTGGCGGTAAAGGTGGATTATATAACCTCACCCCTCAATTAAATTTAACTGTCTGATCATTATTTACAGTGAGTGACCGATCTCATGAAATGTTGGTTGAAATTGTGAAATGCGTTCTCGATTAGGAAGGATTATTTATTCTTGGTTGTGAAATTGATTATCCTGCGACATACTCTTATTACATTTCAGACTCGGTAGGATGTCGGCTTTTAAATGCACTTCTTTTCACCCTCCTGTAGAAAGCGTGCTCGGTAAAAAATGACTACTTATGTAGCACGCATTTTTCACATTGATTTTCGATGGTCTTGGAAATTCAAATATATTTTATAGAAACCATAAACAAAAATATGCTTTATTTTAGTCAATCAATAGAGAATCACGTCTTCTTTATATTTTATACTTAAGGAAGGAGTATAATTAGGCTTCAAAAAAGCTTTCTAATTGCCGAATAATTTGGAGTTTGAACATGCGTTGCAGTAGCGCAGAGTGATTTCACTCTACGAGGTGCATTCGTTCCGCGTAAATAAAATCACATATTTTTCTATGTCATTAAAGAGATATCATGCAGAGTCCGCAAAATTTTGCAATGGATGCGGACCATGTTGTACATTCCATGAGGAGCAGCGGTAAACACACAGGTACGATTCTATGTGAATGGTCATTTCGCGGTCTTAGTCTCATAATTAGAAACTTTTTACAACCTAAATATACTCATTTCTTAAGTATAAAATATAAAAAAGACGTGATTCTCTATTTATTGAGTAAAAGAAAGCATATTTTTGTTTATGGTTTCTATAAAATATATTTGAATTTCCAAGACCATCGAAAAGCAATAAGAAAAACGCATGCTCCATAAGTAGTCATTTTTTACTGAGCACGCCTTCTACAGGAGATTAAGTAGACATGCATTTAAAAGCCGACATCCAGCCGAGCCCGAAATGTTATGAGTATACCACAGGATATTCAATTTTACAACCGCGACCAATTAATCCATCCTAATCGAAAACGCATTTTAGAATTTCAGCCAACATTTTATGAGATAGGTCACTCACTGTATGCGAGCGACTATGTTCAGGTATTCTCAAAGAAATAACGAAGTCGGGCGCACGCATTTGATGACAGAAACCGTTCAGCAATATCGAGGAAGCAGAGCGTTTGTGTTCCAGCTGCGACAAAGTAAGCCTTAAAGCAGCCGGCGGTCCTTGCAGCAGCCATAGTATGGGGAGTACTAACATGGAACAAAACGCTTTACCTACTCTTCCCGAAGAAATAAGTAGGTCACGGCGTACGGCATCGACAACGGAAGACAATACGAGTACGTTGGGGTAACTGGACAACCAAGGTAATACAAAAGATTACGAGAAGGGGGGAGGGAGAACATCATGCCAAGTAATTTATCATTACATGATCATATTGAAACAATTTAGCGTATTCTGTTATATCAATGTTAGATAACACACATAGGGGGACTTCCTGCAGTAACGGATTTATAAACAAAACAAGGGATTTTAAAACAGATATAGTAGTTACGTATACGTTCTAAACATACTGGGGTTGCAAGAACCTATCCTTGCCTTTTTGGAAAAGAAAACTTCAGGGACACGGTTATTTACTACTTTCACTTCAAAAACACGGTGTGCAAGCCTCTTAATGCCATTATTTGCTATAGCTGGAGGACAAAAATGAATTCGCGTTTTCTTGTTTGGAAAACGTCATGGTGGCAAGACATTTCATTTGCAGTAGTTGGGCCAACTCATGAAATCTCAACCGAAATTCCGAAATGAGTTTTCGTTTCGATAAGGCTAATAAAGTAAAATTTTAAAAATAATAATTACCAATCACAATTCCATAATAATCCAGTTACCCCAAAACGTTAGCTTTCAAACGAACTTCTTTTCACTTACATGCAAAAACTATACTCTGTAAAAAATGACTACTTACTTAGCGTGCATTTTTAGCACTGATTTTCGATGCCCCTAAAAATTCAATTACACGTCATGGTAAACACGCATAGAAATGTTCATTTTTGCTCATTCACTAGAAAATAACGTCTTCTTCCAGTTTTATGCTCGAAGAAGGGGAATATAATTCTGGTTTTAAGAACTTTTTCAATTCCTGAATAATTCTGAGCCCGACCTGCCATTGCATTTTTATTCAGGTTTTCTAGACTATAAACTGTATGTTTTCCGCGTGAGGAAATCCATACATTTCTCTACAGCATTAAGAGGAGACCGTGTGGTGTTCACAAAATTTAGCGATAGATTTGAGCCATATTTTTAATTTTACAAGCCACATTGGCAAATGCAGAGGTATGACATTTTATAAGCTGCAATTTCATGGTAGCAAAAAATCTCACGATTGGAATCTTTTTTAAAACTGAATTTTACGCTTTCTTGGATTATAAAATTGGAAGATGACATAGCTGTCTACCCACTAAACAAAAGAATTAATATTTTGATTCATGTCTTTCAAGAAATATAATTGAATCATTAAATGCATTAACACTCAATGATAACAGTGCATGCTAATTAATTCACCATTTTTACGGAGTATGGTTTACGCTTGTAGCCGAAAAGAAGTTCTTTCGAAAGCCAACCTCCAGATGTAGCCGAATTATTATAGAATTTCGCTGCATGGGGATTAGTTTCACAACACTACTTTATTTGTATTTTCGCAACTAAAAGGCTATTTGGAATTTTAATTGACACTTCATGGGTTATCTCAACTACTTTATGCTTGGCCAGCTGGTGAACAATAGTAACATAAATGTACGCGGGCAATAAGCATTACCTGATAAATCATATTTCAAGAACGATTACAAGTACAAAGCTTAAGCACATGGTTCGCGGATTTTGCATAGTTTCATGACGCGTCAGCAGAGGGCTCCGCCGACCAATGTGTCCTATGACATTTGCGGGTAAGGTGATACCATACTAAAAGTATACTACCAGCTCTCTGTCGACAGTTAATAAAAATTACGCGGATACCCGCTGAGGCTTATAGACTTTGGCGCAAATATTTTTACTTATAATTCTCGTTCTGAGCCTATAGACCTTTATTTAAACTGATGTACTCTAACTTCGTAGACAATTTTTGAGGAGATTAAAAAGCGACTATTTCTAAATTGCGGTATCTACCAGAAAAGACACGGGAATGCTGGGAGACCCACTGACGAGCCGAAGCCTTTGAAGCTGCGCCATGCAGTGACAGAATATCGGCTAAACACGCGTGTATGCGATTTTTGCTAGTACCTGTGCTGTTAGTATGGTATCACCTTACCCTAAAAGATATACTATTTGCCTATACATGCTAAATCCAGTGGGTTTTGCGACCTATCCTTATCTTTCTAGCACTTTTAAGAACCATTTGAGACGTTAAGTGTCAGATAAAATTCATCAAACCATCACAAAGAACTGCAGTGCGTATACATTAACATCCCATGCGCCGCGCACAACAGCACGTGGATTTCGGTGTCTGTGTGGAAAATAACTGGTTTTTCCCTATGTTGAGTAGAACCTACTTGAAAGTGTAATCTACATTAGCATTTTACA